GGAAGTTATCAGCTACAAGATTAGTAACGTTAGAAGTGGTTATAGTAGAAGGAGAGCGTATAAAAGACAGATTAAGAGCATTAACATCACAAGAGGGAAAAACATTACATCGCTTACTATTGCCAGTAATTTCATTGAAAAGTTTCCACATGCTGTTAGGAGATTTGCATGATAAAAGTGTTTGGTTATAGATAGCATTAAGATTTTTGATTTCAGATTTGATTTGAGCATTAATCTTTTTAAGTCCTAACTTGTCTTTGCATTTATATAACATTTCTTTTTGCCTGCGAAGTTGTTTGAGATGGGGAGACGAGAAGCGGTCGAGGCGTTTGAACAGTGTTTGTTTGGGACAGCATATGTCGAGGCAGAACTTAAGATAATCCATTATATTGGTGATTGAGTCATCTAATGTACTTTCATAGAATAGATCCCAGTTGGTATCTTTTAACATGCATCTTAGATTGAGTAAGTTGTCAGATGTGTAGCATCTTTGTTGTGCTTTCGTAGACAGGTGTGAGAAGATTTTAATATGTGTTTTGCTGTATATTTTTGGCAAAACGCGGACAATGCAGTGATCGGAGTTATGTATCGGTGAACGTCTACGTGTTTCATATACTCCTTCGTCATTAGTAAAAACTAGATCGAGTGTTTTGTCAAGTCGAGTGGGAAATTTGACTATGTTTGTGTGACCAAGAGCTTCAAGAAAGGAGCAATCTGATGTGTTGAAGTCTCCAGTAATAACGGATAGAGAGTTGTCGAAGTTGGCAGCAGCAAACATGGTGAATTCATCAGCAAAATTAGATAGATCAGATGGAGAGCAACTAGGAGAAATGTACATGTTTGTAATATAGATTTGTTTATATTTGGGGAGATGTTTGGGGCGACATTTGACAGTAATACAGTCAATGAAGTCATTTGAGAAGGTGAAGCAGACGTTATTTGAGACAGACCATTTGGAGTGAATAAAAGTTGCAACGCCACCACCATTTTTCTTATTACAACATTGACGGTCTTGACGAAATAAAATAAAGTCCTTTAGTGAGATAAGGTTGTCATCATACAGTTCATGCAACCACGTTTCTTGTAATGTGATTATGGCGGTGTTATGATACGTATCAGTTGACATCAGGATTGTAGGTACATTATCTTGTTTGGCAGAGAGCGACAGTTTGTGTTCATTATGACGGGGACCGTAGTTAAGTGTATTGGTGTACGTTTGAGAGCTCTCTGCCAACCACTACGATGTTTCCTCCTTGGTTTCTTTGGAATATGAAAGTCATTTGGTCGTAAATGATTAATAAAGTTACGAGAGTAAATGATTCTGTTAGAATTCATATTTAGTGATAAATGTATGTTGGTAAACAGTAGACTGGATGCAAAATGTAGATATTATAGTAGCAGGCCCAAAAATTCGAACAAGCCGCCAAGGTCAAGGAGCTGATATTATTTATCTGCAACCATTACCTGCAACCCGTCCAGAAATACCAACAACAGCGCGCACACAACTGCAAGTTGACACCAAACTTTATAGACTTCGAGAAGGCCTTCGACAGCATTGACCATGAAGTAATTTGGAAACTACTCGAGTACTACGGCGTACTCCAAATATTCATCAACCTTATTCAACAGCTGTGCGACAACGGAACATGTCAGGTGATCCACAACGGAAAACTCAGCGAGGCGTTTCGAGTAAACACAGGAGTCAGACAAGGGTGATTATTATCACCAATTATATTCCTAATTGTGATGGACTAACTGGATTATGCGTCAGACAGTGGGAAACGAGAAGACATGGATATCCTAGACCGATGCGAAGAACCTAGAAGACCTGGATTTCGCGCAAGGATGATTTTTGTTTGATGTCACACAAAATCGAAGACTCACAAGCGAAAACTGACAAACTGGTTGAAGAAGCAGCCGGCGAAGACATAACTCCAGGTGAACATAGACAAGACGGTGGTGCTGAAAATAACCGGCCAACAACAACACCAGTGTTAATCACTATCAACGGGAGGGATTTGAAAGAGGTCATTGAGCATTGTCCCAACTAAAGACAGTCGGAACGGACGAGGATGTCAAATCGACAAAATCGGGAAGGCGAGAAACACATTCATCAACCAACCTGAAACCAATCTGGAAATCTTCGTCACTCAGCCAGCATCAACAACAAAATTCGGTAGGATTTTCAACACAATTGTCAAGTCGGTCAGTTCTTCTATACGGATGAGAAACTTGGCGGGGGGGTCACAACGAATATTTCCAGCAGCCAGTTGCAGACCTTTATCAACCAACAACTGTCTTTTCTCAGATGGCCGGTTCGGAAAGAATCACCAACAAGAAACTATGGGACAAACAAAACAAGAACCAACCAACTAACAAATATGCAGTAGAAAGCGGAGATGGATCGGACACTCTCTGAGGAGGCAGGTTGGTGACATCGGGCGTCAGGCCCCCGAGTGGAACCCGAAAGGGAAGAGGCGAGTGGGACGTTCAAGGGTGACATGAATGAGATCGTGTGAAGAGGAGTTGAATTAGTATGGACTAACCTGGATGCAGGTGAAAAGTACATCAGAAGAGAGAAGCAAGTGGAGACGTGCAGTTAAAGCCCTATTTTCCATTTGGAACCCAAGGGAATAATAAATGAATAATAATCGTACATGAAGTGATGGGTACTTCCTTTGTTGTTAATAAAATAATTTTGGCTCTTTATCTTTCTTTACTATTTGTATTCTATAGTGAACACCTTCTTATACATACTTAGCTACCTAAAATTATTATCACTGGTTTACTTTTTTATTCTTTATTCTATTCCTTCTTTTGTGTATCTACTGGGTCCGACTATATTATCACTATGATTATTACAAAATTGTCCTGTTATCAACCATCATGTAATATTAGCTTTGTGATTGTTTTTTGTTCGGCAATATTAAACTGACAATCTTGGTTGTGAACGCCACTATCACCATCTTACAATTTTTGTATTATGCATGATTACTCACACTACCACAACAAACACTGCATTAGTGGTGACAATAAAAATAACCCTGAAATGTTTATTCTACGATTGTTTAGTAAAGTTCAATCAAATTAACTGATCACCTTGGCTATAAACGTTCTTAATATCATTTCATAACTTCCTGTATGATGATTATAGTTTTACTGTTCACCACGCATACACATATCATAGCTTCACTACCAAATACTGAGATATTATTTATTATGTTGTTAATTTTCCTTTCTACTTCTTGGTATCTTTTCGCATTTTATTATTTTGTGTTTTTTGTTTTTTGTTGTTGTTTTTATATTTATTTTTTGAAGTACTCCTTTTTAAATATTTGATAAAATTAGATGCAATATTTTAGATATGTGCTGAAAATTTCACACTGTACCACTAGTACTGTTTCTGGAATAAAAGTGAAATTATTATCATTATTAAAACTACTTTTTACATTCGAACCGGTGTACTGATTACTAGTCAGTGGCATCTGAGATAAACGTCAAAAGAACAATCAGTTGAAAAATTGCTTTATTAATAAATTTCGAATACTTTATTTTTAAATATTTTTGTTTGTGCTCTCAGTAAACAATCAATCAAGTGACTGACTATCATCATACTAAATAATAATAATAATAACAATAATAATCATCAATCATTCACTTGGAAACAAAATATATATGAAATGGAAGCAAGAACAGTTAACTAATGAAAAATAAAACTGTTGTGATAGAGTTCATCATGTCCATCATCTCTTCTGGTCGAACATTCCTCTCTTACCATCAGATTGTCTCTGTACGCATAAATGTGTTGTTTTTTTTTAAAAAAATTTAATGCATTACAATGTAAAATAGACGCGCGCACACACAATAAAATTACAGATGGGGAAACCAATTTTCTTGGATGAATGCCTGCATACATACATATGAGTTCTGAGTTCACAAAAAAGCAAAACAAACAACAACAAAGACAATTGTTTAACACAAGAGGTAAATTCTTAAAAAAAACCGAAAATGAAAAGAGTGGAGGAATGAAGATACAATACAAGGAAGAAAGAAAACAACTCCAAAACTTTTCACATGTAGGATAATAATACAGACATGAATACACATTGAATACACAGTTGATAAACTGACTGACATTTCGTTAGTCTTATAGAAATGGATGCATGATGGCAATGATCAAAACAAAATAGACCAGAAACAAAAAATCTTTGGTTGAAAAATTTAAGTAATGGACTGTCACTTTTTATTGCGCTAATTACTGCATCATACTCAGTGGGGTGTCTTTTCATTTTAAGCGAAAGTTTAGAGTGACAAAACAGATTGTGTGTGAATGATTGTAAATATGGCAATTATTCAATTATCAATGATGTAGACCAGTAAATGTCATTTTAAATAATTTACACAAAAGATTATTGGATATAAACAAAGAAAGGTGGGTAATTCAATTAAAACATTATCATCATTGTCAATTGTTATAAGATATCAAATAAAAATAAAATCCTTTAAATGTGTCCACAATTACTTTTCAAATGAATTCCTGTGAAATACACCTATCTATCACCTGACAATAGTTTGCTGTCTCTCTTAAGTTACTTTAACCTACTAATCATTCAATAAGAAAGGAGGTAATTTTGTATTGGGATATATGTATAGACGGTATGATAAACAAATATACGATGTTAGAAAAATAAGATGCAATGAAAAAGGTGAAAGCAACGCAAACAACTGTTGAGTTGTCCACGAACAATATTATAATAGAGAAATTATATAGTGTGATACACACAGAGAGAAGAAACAATCGGCAGTCAATGAAGTTAGTTAATTGTTATTATTTGTTCTTGGGGATTTTGGTGTTGACGTTGAATTTACTTTAATTATTGTTACAGTGTTCCTTGTTGTCGTCGTTGTTGTTGTCACTGCAGTTGAACTGGTATCCGGTAGCCTGTTAACAATACTAGGTACTGGATAAGATAATGAAGTTGATTCCGTGTCAGGAAAACTCCAGTCGGAATCAGATTCATGTTCATATAGCTTTGATGGAATTGGAAGTGACACACCAACACCACCACCTGTGCAAACTGATCCACTAGCTTGACTCACCAATTCTTCACGTTTATTATTTTCATTATCGTCATCATCATCATCTTCATCAAGTTCAACTCCAGGCAGAGAAACTCTATGGCCTAAAACAGCTTTCAAGTTCAAACCATCAGTTCCTTCTAAATCTATTAAACGACGTTTTTGCTTGAATTCATTTCTTCGAGATATCTCTTCAGGACTTAATTGTTCTTCTGTATCATCTGATGCAATTGGAAGTTTCTAATAAAGGAGAGAGAAAAAGAGTGATTGAAATTTTTATTTAACAAAATTACTTGTAACTTCAGAGCCAAATGATAAATTATGCTATGTAGCAGACAGAAAACCTCTCCTGCATTCATATTACACATCCTATAGCAAATTAACTCGCGAGAACAGACACAATATTAAACAAGTTATTGAAAACACTCGTTAAGAATGAACAGAAATTCACTTGTGGCGTCAGAGTTTATCAGGATTATCGACCGCTAGAGGGTAACCAACATTACGGACTGAGTCATGCAACTGAAGGGTCCTGAATGGGACAAACTTGCATTTCCGATTCCACTAGTAGTCACTATTGACCCAAAACAATAACTTGATGTTGACTGTTTGCATAAAAGTTTCAATAGCTTTATAAGGAGGATGTTAGAAAAATTCTCATGGAATATTATTCAGGCAACCAGAAAAAGACATCTTATAGGTAATTTGGATGAAAGTCCAGTGGAGATGACGACAAAGTTTACATCGAAGATTGCTACCGGTGGAATACGAGAATTTCTAAGTGTGTTCAGTCGGAATACAAATCACTGTAATCGCCGATTTTATAGCCACACTTTCACCTGCATTTACAGTAGATTAAAATGTCTCTGCCGCGTTCATGACAGTGTTAAAAATGATACTAAATTTTATTTTACAGCTCACAGTGTGCGATCTGCTTGATAATATAAATGTCAATCAGGAGAGCAAGTATATTTGCATTACACGGAGGATTTCACCATGAGCTGACATCAGTTAGAGAACCATTGGAAAACCTGGGAGTACTGGACAGCTGTTTCGTCAGTCTAGTTTGGGACTCTTCAGCAGTACGCACCCGCCATCAAGGTTCGAATCCAGGACCTTCTGGTTACAAAGCGAGCTTGAGCCACTGGGACCAGATTCAGTGGTGCTTGAATTCTAACTTCTGCCAGTTCACGACATTAAAGATGAGGTAGTAACTCATCGAAAGAGACATTGCGAAACGGTACTGCTATGTCGTGAGTTGGAAGAAGTTGGAATTCAAGGACTATTGGATTGGGTCCCAGTGGCTCAAGCTCGCCTTGTAACCAGAAGGTCCTGGATTCGAACCTTGATGGTGGGTGCGTACTGCTGAAGAGTCCCAAACTAGACTGACGAAACAGCTGTCCAGTACTCCCTGGTGATTTTAAAATGGTTCTCTAACTGATGTCAGCACATGATGAAATCCTTCATGCAATCTAATAAAAATCCCTACAAAATCAATACTTGAAAATATTCGCATTAAATCACATATTCCTGATTGACTGAAATGAGTAGTTGTATGTCACTCATATCGTCTAGTAGAACTTTCGAATCGCTAACTAATTCTCACATTGTGAATTTCATTCATGGTATCATCAGTTCGCTCAAATAGCTACCTAGAAATTTGGCTTTTGAAATGTTTCGGCCTTTCGACCTAAGTTAACGTAGGTACGTCACTGATATGCTCAGTTACAAGAAAATGAAACAGTCATCCGGTCTTCAGATTAACTTGACCTGGCTAGAGAACACTACTGGTTGATGGGAGTGGTAAAGAATTACTCATCTCAATCAGTCAGTAGTTTTGATTTTTGTTCAATTAATTAAGTCAAGTTGAACCTCACCTGCTAAATTTAACCGACAGGATAAAGCTGTCAAATTAATACTAGTTACAGTCTACCGAATCATTTTAGCGACTGTCAGTAGTAAGGTATATTTTGTATCATTACACAAACTAGCACATTTGCAAAATGATTATTAAGAAAAGCCAACTTTTTGAGCACTATTTATCACAAAATATTCTTCAAGTGAAATAGTTCAAAAAGCTGGTTTTTTTCGTTTTCAGCTAATACTATTTATTTTATTATTTTGATAAAATCACACAGTGTTATACAAGAATATTTACTGATAACGACGTTTCGAGCACAATTTATTCCCGCTTATAATCATATCAAGGTACTTGCACAACTTTCTTGCTTCGTTTATACACATGAATAAAAAATGATGATTAGACATTTGAATAATATCCATATAAGACTTGCGTGAAACAGAAAGGAAGATAAAGTAGATTAGGAAATAATATTAGTGTTATCAGTAAACTAAAACAGGATGGAAAATAAGACGAGTGTTACTAGGCAATAAGATAGGAAGTAGGATGTTTTTTTTTAGTAAAATAAATAACTTGTTAAAATCTTATAATGTGAATTGAATACATTTTGAGATTGTTTGTTAATCCTTGATTTAACTAGTTATAGTATCTTACATATCTTTGTTATTTGCGTTGAGTCAATTGTATTACATGTGTTGCGTGTAGACCCGATGAATTAGAATTCAGTAATCAGTCTCTGTTGCTTTCCACCTACCAAGATTACTTTTTAGAATTTTGACTGTGTCCCACCCTATTGTTTGGTTTTGTGTTAATGCATGCAGTGAGTTTGCTGACCTTTTTTCGAAATTACTAATCTTCGTTTGGTTAATCATTCCAACCTTAGCTAAACTCTTATGTTCTGATAATCTAACTACCTCCGGTCTACTGGTAGTTGACTTAACTCACAGTCATTGCAAGGTATTTTGTTAATCATATTATTTTGTCTAGTTAGGTCTACCGGATGCTTTAACCTACAGAGCTTGTCCTGCCTTAGTGAGTATGTAGTTTTAAATGCCATCCTAAATTCTACATCATTGAGAATCCTGCGTAGTGTCACAGATTTCCCCCTGCTTATATGGTAAATCTGTAGATGCTTTATATTATGTGAGTACTTTGATATGATTATGAACAATAACTTGTAATCTGAACATCATCATCAGTAAATGTTACTATATAACACTGTGTGATTTTAATCAACTAAAGTGTTATCCATAATGGAATTATACTCTATCAGAGTACCCAAGTTTTATCCTTATACCATTTATTTTAGTTCTAAGTGTTGGAACAAAATTACTACAAATCTCAAATAAAAGTGAAGTTTTTTCATGAAGTCAAATTTTCAATAAAAGCAAATCTAGAAAGCTAGTTCACTAAGATGTATTATTAATACTTAGTAGTGAAAGAATATAATTTATTGTGAAGAAGTTATTTTTTACATGAAAACTGTGGATTTATTTTACTAGACTGTTAAGATATGTACTCTATTCATTTTCAAACTGTGTCCAATTAAATTGACTACCTTGACGTTATGCGGCTTATTCATCTAACCATAAAGGCAGTACTGAAGAAATCATCTCCATCGTCTAACATATGCCTAATAAGTTGCCAACAGCTGTCAAGTACGGGATATTGAAAACATCAGAATTCATAAGGGTTTGATTGAAACAACAGGAAATTTGCAAAGATTCAGGCACTATTGTTACCCTAGAGTATTGTTTTTAAATCGATGTTTTCTTAAGTGCTCTAATACGTTAAACTTTTTTTGTTACGACAGTATATATATATATATATATATGTGCGTTCTCCCAACCCTTATTAACTATCTCAGTAAAATTCCTCTTATTCCTTCATCTGTAATAACAAGCCTTTGATTTTCCAAAAAACCTAACCTTCACTTACACACTGATATGCACACATGCATACAGACACACATATCCTGACATTCACTTACATTAAGTTCACAATCAGATTGAATAAAATTCATTTGTTAGCATCAGTCAAAATCATTCACTACTGTCAAGTTCAAAGTCACTCATGATTACATAAGACATTAAAGATTGACTTTGATATTTGGTATTCAATTTAGGAACATAGTTATGCATATTATCATATGCACATATTTCAAATTATAGTCTAAATTACAATTTTCTCACATGCACCCTTTCTGATTTTTTGATCATATTGATTTTATTTCGGCTCCCTGTGAGGATGCTTCGACGGTATCTAAAGATAAACTTGAAGTAAGTTGGTAGATGGTGACTAGCAGTTGAAACTGAATCTTTAAAAAAATAAATACTAACAAGAGGTTGCTCCTATCGCCCAAGTGATCTAGTGAATAGCGCTTTGACGTTTACAACAATGGGTGCTGGTCTCCAGACACAGTAGGAACAGCACTGCTCACTGCCATGTGCAGGTACTTTCGGTCGACGAGTCTCAAACAGGATGAAATTCGAAGCCTGAATTCCACTGTTAGCTGCCCTCCAATAAATTACATTAAATTAATAATGATTCAGCGTCTTTTTAAAGAATTAGGTGCCTGGTAGAATATGTGCCTAGTCGGCGTTAAGTTCGGAAAATAAAGAGACTTGGGCATTGGGCTAGCAACAACACAATGGGAAAGACCAAAACCGCCGTTCCTAGAACTTCAAATCTTGAAGTTCGAAATCCTAAGTTCCACTTGGAACATAAGGTTTAGATAATGAAGATTTATGTCGTCAGTGATAGTTATTACTTGACTAATATGCATATATACCTGTAGCGATTAAAAACACGCTATCCAAACGAATATTCCTTTCACATTAATCAATATTTCTTGGATTTTTTCAAATAACTTTGTATTCAGAGCACAAGGTTGAGCTTCGAGCTTAAAACTTTGAAGTTTCAGTAGCAGTGATTTTGTTTTCACGAGGTGAGGTCGCTAGCCTCACTCCCAGCCTTTTTAGTTCTCTGGCTTTAATACTGGCTAAGGTGGGTTTAGAGCGCATCAATCCTCAGAGCCTAGCGGATAATGCTTCGAATACTTAGCGTGGTATAATACTGCTTTAAAGGCAAGTTCTACCAACACAGTGAACGTATACGAAACTTTTAAACGCTGATGAAGACCAGTGAGTCGCTATGGCATATTTCACAAGCTATCCATCATCTGTAGTCCTTTGATATGTGAAATGTTACATAATTGAAAATTTAATTGTACCTGTTTTTGCTTTATTTTAAATTTAGAGATTAACCAAAAATAAATGAAAATAAAAAGATGGACAAACAACATCTTCCTTCATCTCTACTATTCAATAAGAAAGAGATGAACTAGGCGTGAATATTTCAAAAAAATAAAAACAAAAAA